GGTAGAGCGCTAGCCTTGAGCTGAAGAGCTGAGGGACAGCGCCCAGGCCCAGAGTTCAGACCCCACGACCGGACCCCAAAAAAATAAATAAAAATAAATTCTTTCCTCGTTGAATTGTCTAGGTACTTTCTAGAAAATTAATTGATCATAAACTATGGAGGTTTTTATTTTGTTTATATGTGGTATCTTTTGTCATACAGAAATTCTAAAATGCTAACAGTTTTGTGCTTTTTCTCAGAACCTTCCAGTCTAGGAACAGATACGGATATACCAATGGACATTGATAATAATGACATGAACAGTGATGGTAGTCGGGGCTTGGATGACACTGAAGAGCCCTCTCCCCCAGAAGATAAAATGTTCTTTCTGGATCCATCTGATCTTGATGTGGATCGAGATGAAGAACCTGTTAAAACAATTAGGTAATACTTCTGTTGTAGCTATTAAGCTACCTTGCCAAATGCAAAATCAGGCCAAAGTCTCCATTAACAAAAAGGTGTATATAAGTGGAACTTTGAATGTAATTTAAAAATCTAATTAAAGCATAACTAATTCTACATGCACCACAGCATTTCTGAAATGACTTATTTCACCTTTGCCATCCACTCAAGATAGGAAAGTATGGTAATCCTTATTTTCAAGTTTTATTTCAATGTAGTTTAGATAGAATACCTAATTGTAGAGCAGTCACCACAAGGTGCCAGTAGTACACTGCTAAAGCAGCCAGTTATTCACACAGGCAGGCAGATTAGCTGACAGTAAAAACATATTCCTGAGGATGTGGTGATAAAGTCAGTGCGAGGGGTAGCTTTCATACTGCCATAATTAATCTATTAACACTTTTTAAAGTGTTACTGGATTTGCTAGGTGCTGGTGGCTCACACCTGTAATCCTTGCTACTCAAGAGGCTGAGATTTGGGGATAACAGTTCAAAACCAGCCCTAGGCAGAAAAAGCCAATGAAACTCATCATCTCCAATTAACCACTAAAAAGCCAGATTTGGAGCTGTGGCTCTAAATGATAGAGCTCTAGCTAGCCTCAAGCAAAAAAGCTCAGCAACAGCATCCAGGCCCTGAGTTTAAGCCCCAAGACCAGCATACACACATTGGACTATAGAACTTAAATATCCATTGTATTTCTGTAAATTCAGTATTTATATCCCCTCTTGTAGCAAAATGCAACTATTTTGATAATTTTTTTCATTGGCATTGAAGAGTTTTTTTTGGGAAAATTGATGGCTTATCTGTTTCACATGGCTGAGTCATTTGTTCACTTTGACTTACCATTAAATTATAGCTGTTGTCATTACTAAAAATTGATGTTTACTCCACTTGTAAAGCCCATGTGGTTTCTTAATGATAAGTACTTTATAGTTTTTTAAGTATTTAAGTATTAGTTGAAATTGCAAAACTATTTTTTTATTTGGTGTCCAAATTGCTCATTTTTTCTGATTATATTTCTGATCCATATTTCGTTGTGATTGGCTTTCAGTACATTTTAAATTTTTTCTTAGTGTCTATAAGTTATTTATGTTTAAATGTCTTCTACTAGAAGTACTTTTTGCTCACATCAGATGAATTTGAACCCTGTGAATTTGAGTATACATGTTTTTCTTTGTTACGAATTTGCAAATATATCATGCTGTTTAGTATATGAAAACTCAACAGCAAACCTAAATGAGACTCTCCTACAGTCTCAACTTCTAGTTGGGGAGATTTATTTATGAAGGTCTAGAAAAAAATTCATGACAAATTGTAAATATTTACCATATTATCTTAGTTTTCATAAGTTATATTTCATCAATACATGGATAGTTTATTAACTAAGTAATCGTGGTCTTCAGATAGTTTGAAATATTTTAGCTCAGTGAGACTGGAATATATGCTTATTTCAAATGAGAATTACAAATATTTATTATAGGTTATAACTATTTTTTAGTCCATCAACAAGCAATAATATTCCGCTAATGAGAGTTGTACAGTCCATAAAGCACACAAAGAGGAAGAGCAGCACAATGGTGAAGGAAGGGTGGATGGTGCATTATACCAGCAAGGATAATCTGGTCAGTAATCATATTTTAATATTCTAGAAAAGCTTGATTATGAGTTTTATTTCATGCATTTTTTGCTTCAAAATGAGGATGAAGTGGATACATGTGGTAGATGTCTTAACAAATACCTTAATATATAGCTTAAGACATTTTATGTCCTATAGGGATATGTAACAAGCTGGAATTATAATTATTCTTGTAAAGAAAAAATTTTAAGTGTACAGTGTATTATCTTTATAAAATGGAAGGCCATTCAGGATTTTACAAGATCAGATCTAATATGCCACAGTGAAAAGTAACAACTCAAAAGAAATTCAGATACAAGTGAAATGAACTAGAGCTTCATCTGAAAAGTTATCCTAAATTATTGCAAAGATAAGAAACAGTTTTTATGTAGGCTTTAAATGTATTGTAAATATACAGGTTACCTTTTAGATCTGTTTAGCAAAGAAGAGAAATAGTGAAATTACAGTTTGGTAACAGTTGATAATGAAGATTCAGCAAAGTTTGGTATTTAAAAATACAGACTTGGGAGCTAGACTGTGACTTACTAAAATTGTAAACTTGGAAAAGTTACTTATTTTTCTTTAGGCCTCAGATTCTTCATCTGTGAAACCAGCATAAGTAGTTGTAAATCTCATAGATCAAATGTAAAGAGCTTATAAAGTTTGGCATTATAGTAAGCACTCAATAAATATTAGTAACTATTATTATTTTTTAAATTTGCTGAATAGATTACCCTTAAGCCTTCTAAGAATAAAATGAAGTACTTGATACACTTCACTAGTTTCAATAAAGTTACATATAACAATACAGTCTTCAATTATATATTTTTGTTTTATTGTCCATATCCTTTGAAATGAAACTTGGAGTAATATATGTTAAAGAATTTAATCATATGTCCAGCATACTATAGGGAAAAGACTACCAGATATTAGCACAACCATGTATCATCATAAAAGAATTAATACAGAAATATACCTAATACTTTGTAACCTGAATGGATCATAGACTTAATTGTAAATAAACCAGTAAGACAACCATAGAAGGGTTACTTTATCAACTGTCAATAGAAAAGAAAACAAAATAAAGATCAATAAAAAGTTTCACAGAAAATTCTGTATGGCAGATACCAAAAGCAAAACAATAGCAAACTGGAAAAAATGTCTTCTTAACTCATACGGTAAATGAATTAATTTCACAATATATGAATAATGCTACCAAATTGACTAGAAAATTACTATAGCACAGGAGAATAATAGGCAAAGAATATGAACAGAGTTCACAGGGAAGAAAATACAAATGCGTTAAACTTCAGGATTTGATTTAAAACTGGAGGTATGGTTCAAATGGCAGAGTACCAGCCTTGAGTGAAAAAGCCAAGCATGAGTACAAGTCCCTGAGTCCAAAAATCAGTATGGCACAAACAAACAAGCTGATTTTATTTATAATAAAAGAAATACTAATTTAAACTTGCATGAAATACCAGTTTTCACTTTTTAGTATATCAGAGATCAAGAAGTTTTATAGCTGCATTAGTGAGGATCTGTATAATACATAATCTCATGTTTTTCTGATAACTCTAAACTTTAGAATACTATCAAAAAATGATATATGCACATCTTTTGATAGAGTGATTCAGGCTTCTATAAATTTAGCCCATAGATGAATTCATAGATATTTATATGTGGATACTAATATTTCTTGTAAATGATTCTCCAGAACCTAACACTATTGCCTTCGCTGGAATAAGAGTGAAGAATAGGATATGAGTGACTCTATACTTCTTTTTTATGTTTGGAGAATTTTCAGCCTATTCGAAAATACAAATTCATGTTGGGGTTTAAAGGAAAAGTACATTATTTTTTAACCTAACCAGTTTTCTGATCTCTATTTTATAGAGAAAAAGGCATTATTGGAGACTTGACAGCAAATGTCTAACATTATTTCAAAATGAATCTGGATCAAAATATTACAAGGTAAGAATATTACATAGGAAAAGCATGAAAATATATTTTTGCCTAATGCAGTTTATTAGCAGTCACTGTTATGTTTTTGGTTTGTTTGTTTTTTTTTTGTCGGTCGTGGGGCTTAAACTCTGGGCCTGAACACTGTCCCTCCGCTCTTCAGCTCAAGGCGAGTGCTCTACCACTGGAGCCACAGCTCCATCCACTTCCAGCTTTTTCTGCTTATGTGGTGCTGAGGAATCAAACCCAGGGCCTCATGCATGCAAGGCAAGCACTCTACCACTGAGCCACCTTC